GGGTATTTGTATACACAAGGAGGGCAATGCGCACTACCCAAAGGATGGACATATTTGAAACACGGACTTCGGTGGGGGGGGAACCAAGGGCAACACACATAACCTAAACATATGTACACCCATAATTTGCTGAAATAAAAAAAAAAATAATAAAAAAAAAAGAATCAATATTGGTAAAATGTCCATTCTGCCCAAAGTGATTTCTAGATGGAATGTAATTACCATGAAAATACAAACATCATTTTTCACACCATTAGAAAAAGCAATTCTAAATTTCATATGGAAATAAAAAAGAGCCAGAGTAGCCAAAGCCATCCTAAGCAAAAACTAAAATAAAACAAAACAAAACAAATATGGAGGCATCACATTACCCAACTGCAAATGATACTACAAGGCTATAGTAACTAAAACAGCGTGGTACTGGTATAAAAGTAGACAAATAGATCAATGAAACAGAATACAGAACCCAGAAGTAAAACCATACACTTACAACTAACTGATCTTCAACAAAGCAGACAAAAACATACAATGGGAAAAAGACACCCTATTCAATAAATGCTGCGGGAAAAATTGAAGAGCCACGTACAGAAGAATGAGACCGGATTCCTATCTCTCAACATACACAAAAATTAACTCAAGATGGATTAATGACTTAAATGTAAGTCCTGGCACCATAAAAATTCTAGAAGAAAACTTAGGAAAAACTCTTCTGGACATTGGCCTAGGCCAAGGATTTATGACTAAGACCCCAAAGCAAATACAATAAAAACAAAAATAAATAAATGGGAATTAATTAAGCTAAAAGGTTCTGCACAGCAAAGGAAACAACCAACAGAATAAACAGACAACCTATGGAATGGGAGAAAATATTTGCAAACTATACCTCTGAAAAAAGACTAATATCCGGAAAATACTAAGAACTCAAACAAATCAGCAAGAAAAAAAAAACCATTAAAAAGTGGCAAAAGACATGAACAGATATTTATCAAAAGAAGATATGCAAATGGGCAACAAACATATGAAAAAATGCTCAACCTCACTAACCATCAGAGAAATGCAAATTAAAACCACAATGAGATACCACCTTACTCCTGTCAGAATGGTCAGTATTAAAAAGTCAAAAACAATAGGTGTTGGCATGGATGTGGTGAAAAGGGAATGCTTATACACTAAGCATGGCAGGAATGTAAATTAGTATAACCTCTATGGAAAATGGCATGGAGATTCCTCAAAGAACTAAAAGCGGACCTACCATTTGACCCAGCAATCCCACTACTGGCTATCTACCCGAAGGAGAAGTAGCCATTATATCAAAAAGACAGCTGCACTCGTATGTTCATTGCAGCACAATTTACAATTGCAAAGATATGGAACCAACCTAAGTGCCCTTCAACTGATGAGTGGCTAAAGAAAATGTGTTCTGTCTATATCTATCTATCATCTATCTATCTATCTATCTATCCATCTATCTATCATCTCTCTATATCATGCATTACTATTCAGCCATAAAATTGAATGAAATGTTTTTTTGCATCAACTTGGATGAAACTGGACGCCATTATGCTAAGTGAAGTATCTCAGGAATGGAAAAACAAATATCACATCTTCTCACTTGTAAGTGGGACCAAAGCGATGGCTATACATGGTCACACAGAGTGATATAATAGACTTTGCAGACTCAGAATGGGGGAGAGTGGGAAGGGAGTGAGGGAATAAAATTTACCTATCTGGTCCAATGTATACTATTCGGGTGACAGGTACACTAAAGGCTCTGACTTCACCACTACGCAATCCATCCATGTTTCAAAAAACCTCTTGTACCCCCTAAATTTATTGAAATAAAAAAGTGAAAAATGTTTTAATATACATTTCTCTAATGAGTGAGAAGGGGCATTCTTTGTGTGTTATGTCCTTTTCCATAAACTAATAATTCATGTCCTTTCTTAAATTGTTACTAGATTATTTTAAATCTCCTTATGCATCAAACGAATTAATTCATTCTCTAGGATCTGAGTTATAAATATGTGTGTTTTCTCTCATTTTGAAATTCGACTTTGGATAAAAATCTTATCCTAACCATTTCTCCCCAGTTCCCTTTTACCTGCCACAGTTTCTGGCAGACAGAAAATGTGGAGCAAATATTTGTGGCATAAACAGCTTCATGGGGGAGACAAAGCTCCCCTAAAGCAAAGAGAAGGCTCCAGGTCCCTGCTTCAGGCCTTACATTCACTGCAGAGACTCACACAGCAGAGACTCACACATCCCCCCACTTTCAATAGTCACAGCACAGCTCAGCAGAGGGGAAGCAGGGTACTGACCTGCGATGGAAATCCTGGCTGTCTTTTCCTGCTGGAGCAGGGAATTTCTGATGGTACAGGATACCCCCTCTCCGGAGCTTCCTCTCATGATCACAGATGCTGCCACTGCATACAAGCCCGCTCCATCTGCAACCACAGGTGCTGCCACAGCCGGGATGACCTCCCCCTTGGCATCTCTCCACTGGACGTGGGGCTGGGGGTACCAGCCGGTGGACCTGCACTCCAGATGGATCCCTCCGTCCTCATAACCCTTCATTTCCATGTGCAGATCAGCACCCAGTGCTGCGGAAGGATAAATCAGCTTAAATTCTTGGGAGCCTCCTGCATCGGGGAGAGTCTCAACAAGAATCAACGACACGCTCACATTAGACAATTCAAGGAGGATTATACTCAGGAGCTGTTTGCAATAGTGTGGTCACAGTGAGGGGAAAGCTATGTGGGCTAGTGCAGTACCCCGGGGCCAGAAACAGTGAGGCATTACCACTCACGCCTAACCCCAAAACAGGAGGACAGGGAGCCATGTCTGAACAGTGAGAAAGATATAAACATTGCCTAAATCACAATAATGGCCAAGCACCCCACACTGGCAATGAGGGACTGTTTTCCTTTTACCAATTAGAGCTTTAGTCTGGCCCTAGTCTCCTTCCTCCTGGAAAAGATTGATTAAGGTTCCCACTCACAGGATTAATCCCCCTCCCACCTTCCTAACAGCATCTAATCAAGAGCAGAGGCCCACTTCTGCAGACCCTCCCCAAATCCCCTAACACAAGCCCAAACTCTATACCAAGTGTTCTCTAACACCTTTTGATTGAGATGCCCCACAGTTCTCCATGGTGTGTGCTTTTCCTTGCTGCAAATAGTAATAAACACAGCTCCTTCCACTCTAGCTTCTTCGATGGCTCCTTTCTGGGGGTCACTGGCTGGAGAACATTAGCAGCAGATACAGCCCCTATGCTCGGCCTCCCAGGGCCCACAGTAGGTGCATCTGGCGAGGCCACAGAAGCCATCCGGTACACAACTAAACCAAAGCAAAGCAACTGTGTATGTGCCACTGAAGAGATGATTTCTAATCCTTCCCATCCCTTGTCCTTTGTTTCCCTTCTCAGATCCCTGGAGGCTCGGGCGGGGGGCCTATCCTTTACTTGAGCATGTAGGGGACAGGAGGAATTCTTCCTGAGGGAAAACCTATGCCTTTCTCAAGGGTCTCAGAGCAGCTGAGTAGGAAGACAGTGCAGGCAATTCCTAGGGGCCAGCCAGGAGTACTCTGCACTGGATTTGAGGCAGGAACTCTTGCCCCAGGTCCCACAGAGGAACAACCTAAGAGCAAAACCCAGGCGCTCACCTGCTACCTTCAGCTCCACGATGGCTTTTTCATAGAAGTTGCCATCTTGGAAATAACACAGGTAGTTTCCACTGTCAGAGGCTTTGACGCTGTGTATTCGGAGAGCGGCCTTTCCTGCAGTGATGTCACCTCGTAGAATGGAAGTTCTCCCTCGATATTCAGGGGTCTGTTTGTTCTCCACTTCCTTTCCACCAGCATACACGGTCACTACCTGCCTAAGGCTGGATCTCACCCACCTCAGCTCCATGGTCTCTGCACTCATCATCGGGGACAGGTGACAGGGCAGATCAGCGTCTTCACCTACCATGGCCAGGATGGGTCCAGGGGGTCCATGTACCGCAAACTGAGCTGGTCAGCAAAGGGGGGCAACTCCATCAGAGGTGTTGGCAATGGAGCCATCAGAGTAAGGGTTCTCCTTGACAGGGAAGGGGAGGTATAAAGAACCTAGAGAGGAACAGGATCCTAACAGAAGTGCCATTTGTCTCTTAATGGCATGTGAACTTTGGTTAGGGGTGGAACTTCCAGGTATGGAAGGACTCAAAGGATCTAATTGGGCATTAGTAGGTAATTGTCTGCTTCACACAGGTAAAAACAGAATCATACCTACCTGAGCAAGGCATGAGCAGCTGGACCAAGATGAGGCAGGCAAGGAAGTCGAACAGAAGGAAAGCCAGGCCACTTGCCGTTTTCATCTGTGCTGCATATCAGGGGACACCAGAAGGGGTGTGGCAGACACTATGTCCTGGAAGAAGCTGTAGGATTACACATTGAAATCTCCACTTCCCCAGTGCTCCACCCCATGTGTAGTGATCCAAGAAGATCTTAACTCTGCCAAAAATGTCTGCCCTAGAGTCTCTCTTTTTTAATTTATTTTATTTTATCTTGTTTTAATTTATTTGCCCTAGAGTCTCTTAACCTTCCAGTTCCTACATGGTAAATCACCCATGAAAACACAGATACGATAAATGCACATATGTTATCCCACCAGGAAATCCTTGACTCTACTTCCTAAAAATATTCAGAAACCTATCCCTTCCCCACACTTCCCTTGCTTCACCAGGTGCAAGCTTCCATTATCACTTTCTGATTAATGCGGAATTGTCCTCATTGCATTCCCTGGTTCTACTTGTGGCACCCATTTGTGGGTGTGCAACACTGTGGACTCCTCTAGGCCCCAACTCTCAGCCATCACCATGGTCAAATTATGGCCCAAGAGACTCTGGGTAGGATCCAGGCAGACTCCCTGCTGGAGGCTCTGGAGTCAATCAGGGGCTGAACTCCCCACTTGTTCATCACAAGGCTAGTGATTGGGAGAGCTGTGAATAAGACCAGGCCTTGCCCATCTTTTCTTTTTTTCCTTCATTGAGTCATTCAACAAATATTTAGTGAGCACCCACAGGGGGCAGGCATACCATGTTAGGTGTTGGCATCAGAAAAATGGTAGGTAATGGCTCCGTGATTCACAAGCTGTGTGATCTCAGTCATGTGACTAAACCTATCTGAACTTCAGTCACTCACAAAATATTGCGAAAAATGAAATTTAAAATGTGCACATCTGGCCCAGAAATTCCACTGCTTGATTATCTAGTCCAGCAAAGTACCTGCATGGGTGCAGAGAAAAGTATGTGTGAGAATGACACTGAATTGTTATTTTTAAAAGTGTAAAAGCCATAACCAACAGAAGTAGCCACTCACAGGAGACTGCTTGGAACCCTATGCAGGAATTCAATGCAGCAGTTAAAAAATGATTTATTGTCACTCACCTGGGTAATTGAGATATACTAAGTCATCAAAAAGCACATTGCACAACTGTGCTAATGATTCTATCTAAAAGCAAAAGCAAAGCTATAGATTTGTACATACTTGTATATGTAAATATCTCAAGAAGGAGTAAAAAGATGCATGCTAAACTGAAGATTAGAGGTTTAGCACGTGAAGGGACACTTTGGCCTTTTGTTCTCATTACTTTTAAAACTATATTAAGGCCGGGCGCGGTGGCTCACGCCTGTAATCCTAGCTCTCTGGGAGGCCGAGGCGGGCAGATTGTTTGAGCTCAGGAGTTCGAAACCAGCCTGAGCAAGAGCAAGATCCCATCTCTACTAAAAATAGAAAGAAATTAATTGGACAACTAAAAATATATATAAAAAAAAAAACTAGCCGGGCATGGTGGCGCATGCCTGTAGTCCCAGCTACTTGGGAGGCTGAGGCAGGAGGATCGCTTGAGCCCAGGAGTTTGAGGTTGCTGTGAGCTAGGCTGACGCCACGGCACTCTAGCCAAGCAACACAGTGAGACTCTGTCTCAAAAAAAAAAAAAAAAAAACTATATTAATGCTTTAAATTTTAAAAATTTCATGTACTACTTAACAATTAATTATTGTTATGAGTAATTTTAGTGAGTGGAACTTATTAGGTGCTCAGTAAATACTAACTCCTCAACAGTTTCCCCCAAAACAAGGGAGCTTGAGGCCCACAGTCACAGTACCTGCTGCTGGGGGTACCTGGGTCTGGCAATTGCCTCTGAGAACAAGGTCTGCAAGAGGTGTGGGGAGGAGTGAAGAGAAGGCAAGAGACAAAGGTCTGTGCAGCTGGCTGTCCTTTGATCCCTGCCTGGGACCTGCACCCGTCCTCAGAATAAACATTGTCTTTCACCACATCTTCTGCTCCTCAAAACTGCTCTCTATGCTGCTAGAGAGGGGGGTGTCTTCTTATTGTTGTTATTATTTTTAGTCCCTGACCTAACAATTTCTGTGCAGTATTCAGAGTGAGAAATTAGTTTTCATTTTTCTTTGGATATTTATTTTTCTTTTTCGTGATTATAGACAATTTTGAAAATGAAGAAAAATACAAAGAAATAAACTTTTCAACTATCTGCAGTGGTAATCATATAGTTTGCTAGTGGTAATGTAAATATTTCTGGACATATTCTGGCCATATATGCAAGGCTGTCTGGAAAGTACCCAGCCATTGTTGATATTAATATAACATTATATAATACCAATAATGGCTGGATACTTTCTGGACAGCCCTCGTATATAGCAAAGGCCTAAAAACTATTGTATTCTTTGACCCCAAAATTCCACATTTAGCAATTAGTGTTGAAGAAAAAAAAATCATGAAATAACACAAAGATTCATGTTTCAGGCTGTTTAACGTACTAAAGTCTACAATAGCAAAATATAGATGCAATTTAAATATCCAAAATACAGAAAGGGTTAAATAAATAATGGTATATTCATACAATGTAGGAGCTCATAGCTATAGAAAGCATGCTTTAGGTTTTGGGGAAATGGAGAACAGAAAGAAAAACAGACACTGTCCCTAAAAGACACCAAAGTGAAATGTATGGATCCGATGTTGTTAAAATTATAAATAATTACTCTTCATTAAAAACATGATTCCTCATGGCTGTATAGAAATCTCTTTTATGACTGAACCATGCATTGTTTATCCATTTCCCACCTGTTGTATATGCATGTTGGTTCAGATTTTTCTATATATTAAATAATAAATAGTTCTGAAATGCATATATTTATATATAAATGTTTAGGGCATATTTCTTTTCAGAATTTCTTAGAATAGATGCCTTGTCATGGCCAGAACAGACTTTAAGGGTCTTTTGCTCCTTTCTGACCATGATACATTCTTAAGAACATGCAGTTGGAATCTTTCTTCACTCAGGATGTCTCCCTTTCAATCCACCAAATCCCAATTTCTGTAAATCCTCATTCTTTGCACCACTCCCCTCTCCCCCGCATGCCCAGATGTGCATGCGTGGGCACACACCCTCCTCACCCCTATCTCTGTCTGGGTACTTCCCTGAATGCCCACTCTTAGCTTGTCAACCCTCTCCTCCCAGGCCTTGTAGCCCTGGCTTTCATCAATTTCCCTCACTTACCCCTTGGTACTCCCATCTGAAAATCACAACCCACAGAATAACGACAGTCAGTAGTTCTTCATCCTTTCTATTATGGTTAACAGTTTCTGATCTGGAAGAAAGGAAAAAGAAAGAAAGCAGAGTTCATCTGCTCACGACGAAACTGCAACAGAGTCCCTCTTTGGAAGAACTAGTATTTTGATTGGCTCAGAGGTGGTGCATCAGTTGCTGGGCAGAAATCACTGGGGAAGTTTAGAATGAAAACTGAAACTACATTGAGTCACACATATTGAAGAAAAATTCCAGCCCTACCACCTTGAGTGTTTCGGTTTCTCTGTGGTTACCTATTTGAATCATTCTTGTGGGTGTATGTATATAAATATTCCTTCATATTCACCTGTCTTATGTCTTTTATATCATGATAGAAATGTCATCAGAACAGAGTGGAAAAAGAAAAAGATTTTAATGTGTGAACAGAGAACAATATGTATTAATTAAAATGCTACTGTGATATTTACTAACATCTGCTTACATGTAGATGGGTACATGGAGGAGGAGGATCTCTTACTACAGAGCCTAATGAAAGTAAGAATGGAAAGAAAACCAGACACACTGCACCATTTTAAGCACCTCTGGTATCAAGGTCTAGGATCCAACACCAAATAATATAATTTAATATAATTTTCTGGTTTCTAGAGTCAGTGCTGCTTGGCATGTTTTGCATTTTTCAGGAAATTCTTA